CTTTGAAATGATTTTCACTCAGAAATGGCTAAATCTCACAAATAATTACAAAGAAACAACACATTGAAGTAACTAAAGTTTTGAAGCCAAAAGACTGACGTAAAACATATGCTAATAATTTTTGTTTTATTTACAACTTTGAAAAATCTTTTTTTTTTACAGTGCACTTATGGTTAGGTATTTGAAAATCCCAAATATTAAACTTCAGTGCATGAATTATATGGCTTGTTGAGAGGAGGTGTGCTATCACTTTTTGTTTTTTTTTACCTGATAACCAACTAAAATGGGTGCAAAAATACCACTAATCGTGGGATCTGAACCATATCTAGATACTAGAACATATAGATATACACCAAATATAGCATGCAGTTTTCTTTATAGCATACAATGCAAAAAAAATTTGCTTGTCATTGGGCCAGGGCAACTCTTTATCTTATCTTTTATTATAATTTAGATCTATCTTATCTATTGTTGGTACCTTAATATGTACCGTTAAGGTACTATTCTGAACTAATAAGGGGTAAATAAGGTACAAAGTTGTGCCTTTGAAGGCACTGCCCCGCTGACAAGATGCTGAACCCCTAAAAGTATGATTTGTGCACATTTTATTCTGAGATGCATCCCATTCATCTAATTACCTCTTTCAGTAAATAGCTGTGGAGGTCAAAGATTTGACCTGTTCGAGGTCATTCTGATGCCATATTGAAGCCGTCGGACTGATGTAAAGAAAGCAAAAAAGGAAAGCGAGACAGACGCAGGTCTTGACCTGTCACTCAAAAGGAGCTTAGTTCACCCAGCCAGTAAAATCTCACTTTCTGCCAGCATTCGCTTTAGCCGGACCAGTAAGCTTGCTGTCAGGAAGACGATTCATTTCTCAAAGCTCCTATTTAGAAATTGGAAAACGGCGGGATAATTTTTTTGGCAGACCTGTCAAGCTACCGCCGCTCTTCAGTTTGAGCCTGAAAGCCGGGGGATGTGGTGTGGTGTGCTGCGGGATAATAAACACTGACTGCACCGCCTCATGAATATACAAAAAGAGGCATAACTTCACACCCTGCTACACCCGCCAGATGACTGGCCGTGCCTCACAGGGAGCCGCACGATGCCCCTCTGGTGTGTGTTTGATGCAGCGCGCGGGCCAGGAGATCAGTGAGGGTGCAGGTGTGCGGGGCAGATGGTGGAGAGGTGATACCCGGGGCACGGAGACTCAGCCTGGCCAGGAACACAGAAGCTCCATGAGGGCGGCCCCCGGGGGAACGGAGCCGTATGACTGATGCACTCTGGGATGCAGCGAGGCAGAGCTGTGATTTATGGAAGGGAGCAGTGAAAGTGAGCTCCCCGCTGTCTCACACACACTGCTGCTGCGCTTGCAAAATCTCTCAAATATGCTGGGGTTTTTAGGAAACTTTCTGTCTGCGTTTTCTTAGGACTCTCTCATTAAACACAGTTGCTGGGTGAAATAAAGATGGCCGTGGGCAAGTAATGTAGGTTGTTTTATGGCATGAGTCACAGTGTTGCAGTTGAAAGGAAGAGGAGAAGGCATAGTTTATTTTTTGACACTTGTAAAAATGACACTTGTAATTTTGAAAGAGGGTTAAACACTTTTAACTAATTATGAAGACTTTGTGGTGTCAAATGTAAACCTGCACAGTGTGAAACAATGCAGAATGTTAAAACCTGATTGATGTGAAACATATGAGGGAAGCAGATCTACAAATCACCTATAGAAACCTACCATTCAAAGGTTTAGGGTCAGTAAGATTTTTGTATTTATTTATTTATTTTTTGCTCAAGAAACATTATCAATGTTGAAAACATCTGCTTAATATTTATGTGGACATCATGATTCTTTTTTTCCCAGGATTCTTTGATGTAAAGCAAGTTCGAAAGAACTGCATATATATATATAATATATATATATATATATATATAAATCGTCAATGTCTTTACTGTCATTTTTGATCAATTGAATGGATCCTTTCTAAATAAAACTATGAATGAATGAATTAAATCATTTATTTATACTGACCCCAAACTTTTGAAGGGTAGTGTGCATTTTTTTAAATTGCCATTAAAAACAACGAGATTTTGAATGTGGTATCAGACTATTATTGCTTTTTGTGTGTGTGTGTGTATAATAATAATAATAATAATAATAATTAATATTATTATTATAATTTTTTTATAAAAACAGATGCTGAATTATTCTGAATTTATGCATAACATTACTTCTGGCTAAATACAGCTAAAATATTTCCTTAACACACACACACACACACACACATATTATGTATATGTATATGTATGAGATAATGCGTATATGTATATTGAAATAAAAACTAAACCTAATCCCAGTTCATATTTGCAGCACTGACAGAAACAAGCACTATTTAACAGAGAATCAATCAAACTATCTTTATGAATGATCCTGAAAGACCTTGCTTTCAAAGGTGAGGACATCGCCACCTTGTGGCAAAGTCTTGATAGTCACACAGATTCCTCAGAAAGCACCATTTAAATGAAGCCTGACCACATTCTTCTGTCCATACAGCACCCTGCAGCCCGTTCTCTAAAAAAATGCTATTACTATGAAGTTTCCTTTAGCCTGTAACTTTCATTTTTTAGTTATGTTGCTATAAAGCTTTCTTATTTTCTTTCCAGCTTTGATAAGGAAGAAACTCATTGACAGATTCAAAAATGTGCTTGAATTCATGGATAAAAGAGAGAGGGAGGAACGATGCAGTTCATTTAAACCTCTCATTGTCTTCACTACAGTGTGTCGTGCCAAAATAAACACTGGTCAGACAGATTGCTCTGTTTAGAGAGAACTAAAATAGCAAAGACATAAGAACAGGCTGGGCAGAGGCTAAACAACACTTTTTACTTTGCTTAATCTATGTTTACTGGGCTTGAGAATGTGTGCAAATCCTTCTATAAAATATACGTTATTTACACACTGCATTTTTTTATACAATTTTTCCTTTGTAAATATGCACCATGGCAACTGTATTATATAAAAAATACGGTAACACTTTACTTGAAGGGGTGTGCATAAGACTGACATGACACATGTCATGAATATGAAGGAGGTTTTATGCATGTTTATGACAACTGTCATTAAGTGTCATTCGCTCAGTTATGTCATTTTTAATGCAAATATGACATTATTTGACCTAACCCTAACCTAACCCTACCCCTACCCTTACCCCTAACCATAGCCCATAACAAATACATCTCAAACAGTGTCATCTTTGCATTAAAAATGACATAACTGAGCGAATGACACTTAATGACAGTTGTCATAAACATGCATAAAAACCTTCATATTCATGACATGTGTCATGTCTTGATTATGTAGGTGTCATGTCTTGATTATGAAGGTGTCATGTCAGTCTTATGCACACCCCTTCAAGTAAAGTGTAACCAAAAAGACCAGTTACAACATTTATTGTTACTACAATAAAACTGGTGACCAAATGTTACCAAAAAAAGGGTAAAATTACTGAAAATGTGCTGTTAAGGTATTAATAATTTTAGGCTATACGATAAAAATGTTGAGGTGCCACTTTATTTCCATTCTAAAATCTGGGTACTGAAGCAAAGTCAGTTGCAAACAACTGCATTAAAACATCTGTTTTATTGAATGGACATCCGTTCCTCATGTCAGACCCACAATACCAAAAGTCCCGTCCATGAAGCACATGTAATTAGCATTCCTTTAGTCATGACGGCGCGTCACAGGTCACTTTTTCTCCTTCGACATGCTGTCAGAGAGCGCTCACACATCTGTGAAAGGTAGCATTGAGTGTACTTCATTCTCATTGTCCAACTCCCCAATTAGTCCACGTTCTAATTCTAGCATTTAGTGCTTAGCATATCATGTCTCTTCTTGTTATCTTGCATTCCAGACTTTTGTAAATAGTCATATTTAAAACTTTAATCCCCTCAATGGAAGATGACGCACAGACAGAAAGTCCGTCATTTAGACAGATAAATGTTATCTCAGTCACAAAGCACTCCTTTTCTTTTTAACTGGCTAATGAGTTTGTTCTGCGGAGTCCAGTGGAATGTTTCATCCGCAGCCCTTCAATTTGATAATGCTGTACTTTTATCCATGATGTCCATTCTCTTTAGCGACAGCGTCTTCGGCAATACACTTGTCCCTCCCTTGTTTGTTGCGGCTTCAAAGCAATGCATTTGTGTGTAGGACAGCGGTTCAAAATGTATTACGTTTCTATTTACCACTGTGCCAATTTCTGTGTATTTAATATAAAATAGATAAAAGTAAAAGCTTACAACTGCTGTTTTTGAAAAACAAGTTTTCAGAGGTCTTGCAATGATACCACACTGCCAGAAAAATTTTTTGCAACAAAAGAATTGTCCTCTGGGTGAGTTTTACAGCAAGTAGAAAGCACTAATTATTGATCTATTTTAGGCATAAACAAAATAGAATACCATATTTCATATTTCACCACTAGGTCTATTTGATGGGTTCATTTTTATCTGGACAATCTCTATTATAAGATTATTGGAAAATGACATTCATCAGGACTTCATAACCTAATGTTGCTCTCTATCAAATTTTCTAATGATCAGTTATCATTTATTTTCAAATCAAATGATCTGTTTCAACTTAGGGTTAAAAGTGGCCTTAAAGGGAAAGTCCATCCATCCTGTCATCCTTTACTCACCCTTATTGCATTCTAAACCTGTATGACTGAATTTCTTCTTTGGAACACTAAAGATAATATTTTGAAGATTTTTTTTTCCAACTGTTTTTGTCCATACAATCAAAGTCAATGGGGTCCAAAAACAAAACATGTCTCTAAATCTTTTCTTTGTGTTCCACAGAATAAAAAAAAATCATAATAGGTTTTAGTTTTTCTCTCTCACACACACACACACACACACACACATATATATATATATATAGTTGATCTCATTCAATCTCCAGGGGATCTCAGATAGCATAAATAACTTTCTTTAAATGGTTCTCACAGGAGGACATGTGTGGTGTTCCACAACTAAAAACATCATGGAAGGAGACGACCTTGCAGCCTGTGTGGTGGATCTGCACTCACATCTTCAAACTCCCTATGGTCAAGGGATGTACCAGGCCCGACAGCTGGATGGCATTCAACTACTTCCTCAGCAAGCAGCCATGGCGTCCATTCTGCCTGGCACTATCATTAACAGTGAGTGCTGCATTATCAGGCCTCTGACACAGTGGATAGACTGATTAATGGGCTTGGTTAAAAATGGAAATCCATGTCAAAGAGTCATCGCAGCTCTGATGTGCATAACATAAGAGAATTACCAAGGGTCGAGGCTGACCTTCAGTTTCGCAGGAATTAGATATTAACCCTCTTCCATTCTCTAATCATAGTTAACAAGAATTTGATGTGAACAAGAACAACAGTGCATTTGTTTTGATGGGGTCTATAGGGTTGGGTTATGTGGTTCATCCCATTACTGCAAAATACAGTTATATTCCATCCCAGCATCCATCTAGCATGGATCTGCTCTTGAGCCAAATATTATTACCTTTACTTTTTGAATAATGTTTTGAGTTGGTGAAAAGCTTTTAAACCTACAAATATGTAGGATTTTGGAATTAAAAGAAGATAAGAACAAGAAATATTTAAGATTCTGCACCATTTCAAGGTCACTAATTAATTTGGTATCAAATAACAAAAATGTAAAACAGAAGTAGTTTAATGGTCTCAGATTTCTTGACCCCACTGTATTTAACTTTGCGATTTTAGATGCTTTTCAGAAGCTTTAGATAATTCAGTATGGATATGCTTGTGTCCATTTCTGTCTTTGTAGAAGACATCTTCCCCTGCAAGGCATGTGGCATCTGGTTTCGGAGTGAAAGAAACCTCCAAGCCCACCTTATGTATTACTGCAGTGGGCGACAAAGGGACCCTGAGATGGTGGCAGAGAAAAATGCCAATATCAGCCATCAAATGCTCTGCAATTGCACATACCCCCAATGCAATATGAGCTTTGCAGGCTCACATGCCTTGGAAATGCACTTATCCACACATAACAGTGAGTAGACCAAGAAGACATTCTTTTTCAAATAACAATTTAACCAGTCACAAATAAGACAGACACACTTGTTTATTCAAGAGCCAAAGTCTTAACTAGTCTGGTCAGGTTGATCTAGTTTAAGGCCCAGGTATACTTCACTTTCCGCGATCGGTTCCATCTGGAGCACAGCCATGTCCACACAGCTTTCAAAGTATACTCAAATGCAGATGAGCGTGCATGGATGAGTTCGACACATGCACAGTACCACCCAATAGACTCTCAACGTTCACCTTGCGCATGCACTGTTGTACACGGACAGTCTGCGCATTCACAAAATGTGGGCTGCACGTTGACTGTATGCACGGACATCTGCAGACACTTCTGATGACCAAAATTGAGTCACTCGTCAGTGTGCGGACCGTCGCGGACCGCGGACGGCAGAAGTATACTTTGGGCTTTAGGGTTGTCCAAACCTGTTCCTGGAGAGCCATTGTCCTGCAGAGTTTAGCTCCAACCCTAATTAAACACACCAGCAAGGTCTTCAGACCGACTAAATATTTCCAGGCAGGTGTGTTGTAGCTGGTTGGAGGTAACGCAGGACGTTGACTAAGAGCAGGATTGGACACCCCTGGTCTGATTGATGGTTTTGGATGAGTTTTGGGCAATTGTCATATGGTCAGGCCGGGAGACCAACTAAACCAGCTTAGGCTGGTTTGAGGTGTTTTTTGATAGTTCAGTAGAGAGAGGACAGGGAATTATGGGTATAGTGCAGGGGTGTCCAAACTTGTTCCTGGAGGGCCACTCTCTTGCAGAGTTTAGCTCCAACCTTAATTAGACACACCTGAACCAGCTTAAACACCAGGGAAACTTCCAGGGAAGTGGAACCTTGGCCCTTCAGGAGCAGGATTGGACACCCCTGGTATAGGGAATCAGGAAATGTTCCAAACAGGATTCCAACTAAAGTTATCTGCACAAGCACCATGGCTCAATGTATAGGAGTCTGTACACTCCTTGGTTAGACTCAACTTTGTATTGTAGTGTTCCTCATTAACACCATTTCTGTTTTCTTTTTGTTTTTCCAGTTCTCAAGTCAGATGCGATATCCACTGGAAGAAACTTAAAAGAGCATGTGAAATAGCGGGCCTGCACCCTGTCTTAAACCTAGTCTACAGCTGTAGAAAAGGTAGAGATGTTAACCTCTTGAATTCACATGGCCCGGGACATTATAAAGGTGGGTCCCAGCCCCCATACATGTAAAGACTTCAGGAAAACTCACCCAGTTGTCCCCGCTTGACGATGGCCCTGCTGTTTTTAATTGGACAACAGACACTTTGTTGGCTACTGTTTGTGATGACTGAAAGTGACCACTTGCCCCCCTCTTCTTTAAAGTGGACGTATTAAATTTTTCACAAGCACCGGTTTCTCCCCTTGTGGTCAACAACATAAGACATTTTTACAATTCTATGCTGGTGGACTCAGCAGCAAGAGGACAATCAAATCAGGAGATTTATCCTACAGTCATTTATTAGAAACGTTTAACATATTTGTTGGGAATACTGTGTGTTGATTGTGTTTTTATGTATTTATTTAATAATAGTTGCAGCTCTAAACAAAAAATGCAGATCTGAGATGAAAAGCAGTTTTATGAAAATGTTTCTTTTAGAATGAAAGAAAGCAGCCACATGAATGGTTATAAAGAAAAATCTACAGATGGTGGAGAAACCTCTGGCTGACTAATGTGTCAACATATCCTTAAATACTGGCAATCACGTTTTCTGAATTAATAATTGTCAATACATGTAGAGTCTAGTTTGTCTTTGATGTTTCTTTATGCTTCCATATATTTTTCTTGACAATGCAGAACTCTTCTTAAAAATGACCTGTATGCGTGTTTGCTGATTCATTATCTCTTTTTTAATATTTGGCTTCTAATGCAATACTTTTTAAAAGATGAAACATTATTTAAAGCAGTATTATGAAAGGGTACGTTTTTTTTACTTGGACCCCAAGAAATTGTCTGTGTGAAGTGTTTACTAAAGTCTTGCTGGAGAAGGGTTTACACTTGGTATGGATGAGTCGTTGTAATCTTTCCTACAGAAAAACAAAACAAAATAATCTGCTCAAAAAAGAAAAAAAAAAGTTGTCAAAAATGTGTTGCTATGCATGTACCTGTATGGAATGAAATTCCAGAAATGTGGGAAATGTTATTTTATGTGACATAAAAATAAAAATTCTTATCTCAGGACAGCAGTGTCAATGAATTTGCTATATATAATCTTTTTTATCATTACTGCATATATTTAGTTCAGGACCTATTGAATATCTATAGACAGTAGGAGTGTGTGTGGTCAAATGTGACCCTGGAGCATAAAACCAGTCTTAAGTCGCTTGGGTATATTTTTAGCAATAGCAAAAAAAAAATAGTCCAAATTATCTTATAACACACAAGAAGTTTTACTGCTCGTCACACACAGCAGAGCATGTGAAATAGCAGGCCTGCACCCTGTCTTAAACCTAGTCTACAGCTGTAGAAAAGGTAGAGATGTTAACCTCTTGAATTCACATGGCCCGGGACATTATAAAGGTGGGTCCCAGCCCCCATACATGTAAAGACTTCAGGAAAACTCACCCAGTTGTCCCCGCTTGACGATGGCCCTGCTGTTTTTAATTGGACAACAGACACTTTGTTGGCTACTGTTTGTGATGACTGAAAGTGACCACTTGCCCCCCTCTTCTTTAAAGTGGACGTATTAAATTTTTCACAAGCACCGGTTTCTCCCCTTGTGGTCAACAACATAAGACATTTTTACAATTCTATGCTGGTGGACTCAGCAGCAAGAGGACAATCAAATCAGGAGATTTATCCTACAGTCATTTATTAGAAACGTTTAACATATTTGTTGGGAATACTGTGTGTTGATTGTGTTTTTATGTATTTATTTAATAATAGTTGCAGCTCTAAACAAAAAATGCAGATCTGAGATGAAAAGCAGTTTTATGAAAATGTTTCTTTTAGAATGAAAGAAAGCAGCCACATGAATGGTTATAAAGAAAAATCTACAGATGGTGGAGAAACCTCTGGCTGACTAATGTGTCAACATATCCTTAAATACTGGCAATCACGTTTTCTGAATTAATAATTGTCAATACATGTAGAGTCTAGTTTGTCTTTGATGTTTCTTTATGCTTCCATATATTTTTCTTGACAATGCAGAACTCTTCTTAAAAATGACCTGTATGCGTGTTTGCTGATTCATTATCTCTTTTTTAATATTTGGCTTCTAATGCAATACTTTTTAAAAGATGAAACATTATTTAAAGCAGTATTATGAAAGGGTACGTTTTTTTTACTTGGACCCCAAGAAATTGTCTGTGTGAAGTGTTTACTAAAGTCTTGCTGGAGAAGGGTTTACACTTGGTATGGATGAGTCGTTGTAATCTTTCCTACAGAAAAACAAAACAAAATAATCTGCTCAAAAAAGAAAAAAAAAAGTTGTCAAAAATGTGTTGCTATGCATGTACCTGTATGGAATGAAATTCCAGAAATGTGGGAAATGTTATTTTATGTGACATAAAAATAAAAATTCTTATCTCAGGACAGCAGTGTCAATGAATTTGCTATATATAATCTTTTTTATCATTACTGCATATATTTAGTTCAGGACCTATTGAATATCTATAGACAGTAGGAGTGTGTGTGGTCAAATGTGACCCTGGAGCATAAAACCAGTCTTAAGTCGCTTGGGTATATTTTTAGCAATAGCAAAAAAAAAATAGTCCAAATTATCGATTTTTCTTTTATGCCAAAAATCATTAGGATATTAAGTAAAGATCATGTTCCATGAAGATATTTTGCAAATTTCCTACCGTAAATATTTAAAAACTTCATTTTTGATTAGTAATATGCATTGCTAAGAACTTTTTTTGCACCCTCAGATTCCAGATTTTCAGATTTAAAAAAAAGTTACCCTTATTTTGTTATTGTTTTGTTGTCCAGGGTCACAAATGTGCAATCACTAGCACCACCTAGTGTTAGTTACGATTCAAGACAAGAACTCAGTTCCTTCCTTTAACCCCTTAACTGTCACTCACATTCTTGAACATAGACGTGAAAGTGCACGATCCAAACTTACATTTTTATTATTCATGAACGAAAACATTTTGTAACATGATATTGATGTACCATTTTCATGGTAATGTAATGTTTGATTTTAAAATGGGTTTCAAAGGAGGAATTTTGAGATTTAAAGTTTTCAACTGATATATAATTTCTGATGAGTTCTAAAGTGTGATCGAGAAAAAGGCAACAAAGAAGACTTTTTGACAAAGGTCAGAACTCCTGTTATGATGTAGATTTTTCAGGTGCACTCTTGTCAAATATTAATCTATTACTTTTCCTACATAATTTTGAACAAAAACATTGGTAAAATATCTATTTAGGAGTCTTAGACCTTTCCACCGATATATAGTTTGTCATGATTAGATTAGGATTTAATTGTAATATAGTGAAGTAAACTTAGGCGTCCCACAGAGGGGACGGG